TGTGTGTGTGTGTGTGTGTGTGTGTGTGTGTGTGTGTTTGGATCCAGACAGGAAAAAAAACACATTCTTGGATGCCACGCTGTGTACGTGTGCGTTGAAGCGCCGCCGGAAGCGTCTCATTAACTCGTGTTAATCTGATGTACGTTGAGACGGATAACACCGGAGAAGACGGTGGCGCTGCTGTGGCGCTGGACCCCGAAACCCACCAGAAGCAAGCGGCTCTAAAAGGAAAACACCACCTGATATCAACAAATCACAGCTTTGGGTTTTATTGCCTCCACAGCTCCTAAACACAGCTCAGCTTTAGAGAGACGGACGGTTTTCWGGCTCTGGTTAAAGCATCCAGAGAACCCTGCAGTCCAGCTGCAGAGCTCTCGTCACGTTCCGCTGCTCTGAACGCAGTAAATGAGGGAAGGTTTCTTGTTTGGACAGGATGCAGCGATGTAAACAGCTCAAAGCATCCGTCACTGCAGCAATAAAACCGTCCGCTGGACGTGGAGGACTGATTCAAACAGAACAAACAGCAGCTGAAGATCTGTGGAACTGGCTGCCACCGTCACCAACAGGGTTATAGTCTTCCTCCTCGATCCTCCTCTTCTCTGGCTTTTCCTGTGAAGTATCCTGTTTCTCACGCTCCGACACTTCCTCTTTTACAGATCCTCCTCCTTTCACCTCGAGGCCTGGGGGGGGAACAGGTGTTCCTGGCCTGCAGTGATCTGTTGTGTGTGTGTTTGTGTGTTCATGTGACACACTACTGGTTGAGTCTATTGATGTCACAGCTTGAAAAGAAATGATGCAGCAAGTCTAATAAACGCATTTACCACCCATGTTGTTTAGGGCTGTGTATTGGCAAGAATTTGGCGATACGATACATATCATGACAGAGGGGTCACGATACGATATATCCCGATATATTGCGATAATGTAAGCAAGGCGATATATTGTGATATATTGCGATTTTTTTGTCCAAAAATTCTGTTGAATAAAAACCTCTTACTGAAAAAAAAAGAAAAGCTAATGTTTACTTACAATGCTAATGCTACCCTTACTCTCTGGCGCTCAAGAGGTAGAGGAGCCAAATGGCTGGCTCACTGCTGCCAACTAGTGGTCAGAGGCTGAACTACAACATAAAAATGAACGGCTGGCAGGAAAGTTGACATTTTAAACATTAATAAAAAAAATCGATACAGGGCTTTAGAATATCGATACAGTATCGGGAAATGAAATATCGCGATATTTCAGTGTATCGATATTTTCTTACACCCCTAATGTTGTTGCTGTTTGAAGAGTTAGCAAAATATCTCATTACCGCTTGGACAAATATGGAAACATTTAGGAAACAATCACTGGATGTGTAACAGGTGTGTTTGACTTTTAATCCAGAGCCATCTGTGTTTTACTGCAAAAAAACTCTATTTTTTGTTTTTATTTATGTGTGAGAGGTTCTGAGCACAAGATGAAACTGAGTTGTTGCAACTAAAAGCTAAAAGGAGCAACATTCTGGTTAAAAGTAACAAAATGTTAACTAGAAGTAGCAGGATACTAGCTAAAAACGGAAAAAAAGCAAAACAATAAGCCAAAACCTCACTACAGGTAGCAATATTCTCACTAAAATTAACAAAATGTAACATAAAATGGCTAAACACCGACTAAAAGTAGCCAATCTATTAAAAAACTGAAAGCAGACCGATAACAGCTAAAAGAAGCACTATTTGTATTATTCACAATCACATCACAGCTACAGCTTTATCAGCTAAAAAAAATAGAACACAAGCAGAAAGCTAAAAAAACAAAGCTGAAAGATGCAAAACTTTCATTACAAGTGACAACATTTTAGCTAAAATTAACAAAATGCTACCTTAACACAGCAAAACACAAGCTAAAATTATTTTAAAAAATAGCAAAAAAAATAGCCAAAATAAGTAAAACACTAGCTAAAGGTAGCCATTCCACTTAAAAGTTCTCATCAACAACTGACGTCAGGCATTAACAGGTGATGTGAACTCTTCCTCTGACATCTCTGCTGACTTGGAGAGCAGGGGTCAAACTGAACATCAGCTAAAAGAGCTGAGAGCTGCTGGACGTACAGCGGAGCAGGTTATCGGTGTGTCTGCAAAAACACTCTGGCAGGGCGGTCCTCCAACTGATCCCACCTCTCAGAAAATGAWGAATGAGGCATTGGCGGCTGCTAGCGCAGCACAAAGCGCGCTAGCTTTGCGCTGCGCTAGCAGCTGCTACTAGCGCAGCACAAAGCGCGGTGAATATCATCTACCTTGCCGGTTGGGCTGGTTTCTCCAGCTTGCTGCTGTTGCGGCATGTCTCGGTGGAGTGG